CTGGCTCCTGGTGGTAGGACTGAGACTATGTCATTTACAGCAAGAAGGAATAAAGTGGTACTAAGCACACTTCCTTGTGGACGCCTTCGAATTGAGGAAAGGATGATCAAGTGGAAGATTCAATTTTGACCTGGAAAGTACGTTTAGAAAGGAAGGATTTAATGAAAACACCCATGTTTCCACGTAAACCTAGGGAGGACAATTGTTGGAGGATATGGTATCCATGTGGGTGTCATAAGCTTTTTCTAGATCAAAGAAAATGGCTAATACGGATTCATGGCGTGCAAATGCCGATGTAATGTATGTCTCGAAATGGGCAAGTGCGTCTGCTGTACTTCGGCACGTCGGAAACCAAACTGGGAAGGGGAAAGATTATGAGATCTAGGTACCACATTAAACGGAAGTTAACCATTCGTTCTAGTAGTTTGCACAAGCAGCTAGTTAGAGCTATGGGCGGTAATCTTGGGGTAGGGTACCTGATTTATTTGGGTTTTAAAAAAGGTAGGATGAGAGCATCTCGCCAATGAGAAGGAAAATTTCCTGACGTCCATATGTGGTTGAAAATAGTTAAAAGGAAGGATAGAGAGGAAGATGGGAGGTGTCGGAGCATACGATAGTGAATACCATCAATGCCTTCATGAGTTTGCGGCACGACTGTAATGCTGCGTTGAGTTCAGAAGAAGAAAAAGGAGCATTATAGGACTCATCAGAGGATAGGGTGAAGGTAATAGGGGTGCGTTCCTTGATGGTTTTAATGGAAGAAAAGTGTGGGGAAAGGTGAGAGCCACTACTGACTGGCTGAAATAGTTGCCCAGTTCATTAGCTACTTCGACAGGCTCAGAGATGAGAATATCTCGAAAATGGAGGACGGGTGCAGGATGGGGGGGGGATGTTAACCTGATAGTTTATGGATCCGTCGCCAAACAGCTGAAATAGATGTAGAAGATGTAATTGAGGAAACATAATTTTGCCAGCTATTTGTTTTGCTGTTTTTAATTGTACAGCGAAGATGGGCAGATGCTCTTTTAAAGGAAATAAGGGCTGATAGCTGGTGAGGGGTGCCTCGTTTGTATCGATAGCTGTTCCAGTTTGCTCGTTTTAAGCGAAGAGCATTGGTGCAATCAGAATTCCACCATGGAACACATTTAGAAGTATAGGGTCTTGAAGTTCGAGGAATGGCTGTATAGGCAGCTCTTAGGATCGTGGTTGTAAAACAATGTAGCATATCTGAAATGGACGGTAAGGGGGGTGGAGGGATAGGTATAGTAGAGAAGTGAAAGTATGCCAGTCAGCTCTATCAAAGCACCAGCGTGGAGGATTAGGAAGTGGTACATATGAAGTAGGAGAAAGGAGTATTGGGAAGTGGTCACATAGGGGAAGTGGTCTAGAACTGACCAATGGAAATCTAGATGTAAAGTAGGAGAGCATAGAGAGAGGTCAAGGCATGAAAAGGATTGTGTGCGCATGTCAAAGTGTGTGGGGCGATTTGAATTAAGAATTAGGTTATTTGTGAAGAGGAAGCGTTCTAGAGATCGGCCTCGGGAGTTGGTGGTAGAGTCACCCCACAGAGTGTGGCGGCAGTTGAAATCACCAACTATGAGGAAAGGTGGTTGGAGTTGGGAAATTAGAGTCTCAAAGGCAGTAAAGTCAATGGATGGGATGGGGAGAAGTAGACTGAAATCACTGTGATCCAGCGGCGAAGAAAGATGCGAATAGCTGTGCACGGGACAGAAGTTTGTATGGGGGTATGACATAAGGTGTTTTATGATGGATAAGTATAGACGAGACATAAAGGGAGTGTGGGGAAGAGATAAAATGGTAATTGGGAATTGGAATAGGAGGGTGTGTGAGGAAAGTCTCTTGGAGGCAGATAATAGATGGATTATAAGAAGCAAGGATATGACGTAGGTCTGATCTATGAGAGCGGAAACCGCGAATATTCCAATGTAGGAGAGCTATATCCTAGTTGATTTATGAATGATAAACATTTACGTGCTGGGGAATTTGAAGGGGAAGGAGCTAGGGGGTGTAAAGGAGGGATATTAGGAGGTAGGGAATCTGGAGAAGGGCATTGTTGTGCCATGAGTGATTCTCGTGTGTATCGGGAGGGAGTGCAAAGGATAGAGGGGATGGAGGGAGGGAGAATGTGCCTATAGTTGGGGTTGAAGGGGGTGGGTTGTGTTGGGAGTAGATGTGTGGGGAGTATTAGCGTTTGGAGGATGAATATCGGAAGGATGGATAGTTGGAGTTGAAGGGATGTGTTGTCTTGGGAGGGATTAGGAGGAAAGGGTGTGGTTGTGATGCATATCAGGAGGATGGGTATTGGGAGGATGGATATCAGTGGTGGATGGGATTGAGGGGGTTAGGTTGTGTTGAGAGGGAGTAGGAGGAAGGGGTGTAGGGGGAATATTAGTAGGAGGGGTATGAATATCAGCAACCACTTCAAGTGTGGAAGGAGCATGAGTTATGGGATCTTGTGTCTCAAGCATATAGCTTTGAATGTCATCCATTGTTTCTGCAGTGGAGTTTGTTGGAGAGTTTTGTGAGAAGGTAATTGTTTCTGCAATGGAATTGGTTGGAGAGTTTTGTGGAATAAAGGTTTTCTTATGAGGGGGGAAGAGGAGACTGGTGTCTCAGGAACAAAGGTATAGGTAGGTGGAGGTGATTGTGCTGTAGGGGAAGAAGGGTTAGAACGTTTAGTCTGTCTAGTGCGGGTAGTGCGGGGAGGGAGAGGGGTTGGTGTTGGGGCTGTAGTTGAGATAGGAGCTGTGGTTGAGATTGGGGTGTCTGGGTTTAGAGTGGCAAAGGAATTGGTCTGAGGGATGTAGAATGTAGAAGTGGAAATGGGGACATTTTGGGGTGGAGGGGGAAGGGCTGAGCGAACGATGTTGCTAGAATATGGAGTATGAGAGAAACCTTGTCGACGTGCTTCCTGTCTGGCTTCACGTAAAGTGAGACCATTTTGTATCTGAGAGTTGCTACCTCAGATTCAAACTTGTAAATGGGACAGCCTCTATAAAATACATTATGGGGGCCGCCGCAGTTAGCACATGTTGTGTTTGTGCTGAGCAGTTTGATCGATTATGACCAGGTTGGGCACATATGGGGCATCGGTCTGTGGAACGGCAATGTTTGGCAGGATGTCCAAAGCGCCAACAGTTTTGACATTGACGGGGAGGGGGTTGGTATGGTCGAACAGGGAGGGATTGTCCACCAATGTAGATACGTAAGGGAAGGTCATGTGTACGGAAGGTAATTTTGGCAATATTGGTCGGATTCTTTCGTTGACCTTTAGGAGGAATGGTGTAGCAATGTACTGATTTCCATCTTGGTCTTTGAGGCATCCTAATAAGTCTTCTCCACAGTCTGACCAATTTGGTATCGACTGGGCAGTTTGCTGGGGAGAGAGAGACAGTTCCGGTACAGGTATTAAGGGTTGGATGAGGTTCTGCAGGAATGGGGTTGCCAGAATGATCTGTTAAATTTGATAGTGCTATAGATTCAGTTTCTGATCTGACTGTTACCAGACGGGAGCGATCGCGTCTGGTATAGAAAGGGACTCTGCCTACTTGTTTTTGGAGGCATTGTTGAAAGAGAAGAGTGTTGCCTGAGTAAGGAGCTGTAGCAGGGATCACGAAAAATCGGTCCCATTTAGCTGGGCTAAACAGAGTATTTAAGATATCTGTAGGGTTGGTGGTGGTGGATGGTCGGGGTCGTGGAAGAGGGAGTATTACGGAATGATGAGAATAAGGTTGCAAGGTAGTAATAAGGGAGGATTGGTTGTTTGATGAAGGTTGCAGGGGTGGAGTTGAATTTGAGGCAGTTGGGTGGGTAGGAATGTCTTCTGGAGATTGATTCTCTGCTTGGGTGGGTAATGTACTAGTAGGCATTGAGGAGTGGGCAGTAGTTTCAGTGTTCGGAGCCGTGGTCAAAGGAGAGCCTGGGTTGGGGCTATTTGATAAAGGGGCTAGCCTCATAGCCTCTAATAAAGGGATTACATTTTCATTACTGGTCATGGGGAACCTGGATTATGTAAATAGGCCTAATCGGTCCACCTCCTTTCGCTACTGAAGGTAAGGGCTAGATTAGTCAGGAGTACCGTGCCCATAGTTCCCGCAGGCCATTCAGGACTGGCACTAGGTCAGCCTTTCATCCTCTCAGCACGGCTCTCACACCTTAGGAAGTAGATAGCAGAAGGGGATGGAGAAGAGATGGAAACAAAAGCTGGAGAGGAAAAAGACCATGCAAAATTAGTTGAGTCGAGGGCTGAGGCCCTAGGCAAGGGAGATCCCTGTATTGGGTCTCAGTCTTCGTCCCCTAAGCCCCCCCACGACAACAACGGGCAAGGGATTGGGGGGGTATGACAGGGGGTATGAGAGCGAGGGGGGGGGGTGAGAGAGACTTTCTTATCAAGATTTTTAAATACTAAAAGATTTGTTAAAAGATTTAGCATGCTTTCTGTTTTATTTGCTCCTATATCTCCTCCATGTGTGCAAGAAATGGCAGGGGTTTCCATACACTAGCAGCGCGCAGATCGTTAGACAAAAACGCAAAGCGTTGCACCACACCACGCCACACTACACATTCATTCATTTGAGACTGAGATTGATTTATAGTAAATATTTGTAACAGTCAAGAGTTACACAAAGGATAAAACAAACAAAACGAAAAAAGTTCATATATTTTTTTAAATACCATATGCCTAAAGACCAAGGTGTAAAAACAGTTTACCCTTTATAGTTATAATATGCACTATCAAATGAAGGATTTACAATTTGATATCAAAATAAATGTACTCTCTTTTCAGTTTTATTTTCTAATACAGTAATAAAAAAATAATAATAATCAGAATAACATTGATAAAAAAAAGACTATACTATGGGTGATTTCACCTGAAATCTTACCCAAAATATGAATAAAAATATCATACATTATATAACTTGTACTATCATCAGTGAATACCTATGATAAAGAGCAAAAAAAGAGGAAGAAAAAAAAACAAAAAAAAACTTTTAATTAATGAAGTAATAACACAGTATCAGTCACGCTTCATGCACATACTGGAGATGTGTGACCGTGCATTACCAGTGAAACCATGATCATATTGTTGGTAAATCAATCATTGAAATCAAATACATCTTTTTTCCTTTTCTCAAAGCCAAAATAAATAGACAACCAAAATAACTTTTTCTCTCCACACGCTGTCACTAGCTGGTAAGACCTGAAAATAAAAATGAAATTCAATATCACTGCTAAAGCTGTACATAATTATAAGCATAAAGTATAATACTTTCAGACTTGAATTTCTTACTAGATACACAACTTTCATATCAAAACTTAGATTCATGTTTTATTCACATTTTTAAAAGTGTGCACATGTTCAACTGCATGTGCCGGTTTGTATATATGTGCATATTACAGTAAATATTCAAATTTGTGTGCTTGTATAACTATACAGTTGTGGTTATACTTACCCAAGTAATCATCCATGAGGGTTCCGATTGCAAACTGCAAGTAAAATAAGCCAATATTCAAATATCAAAATTTATCACAAAAAAAGTGTTCCTTGGCAACACAAAATATGTATTCATTTTATTTATAAACAAACTTCTTAAACAAAATGAATAAGAAATTATTAACATCAAACTTACAATATCTGTAGCATCTACTCTGGTACCAACGATCTTGACTCTAATTTCGTCATCTTGCTGAATAACAACTTCCTAAAAAAGAAAATTGAAGTTATAATGACAAAAGTTTCTTGCTATTAGGAATCATCATTATTTCATACACACAATTTGTTTCAAAATTGTATTGAAAAAAGAAAGGAAGGACAAAGAAAGAAGAAGAAGAAAAAAAAAAAAAGTCTTAAATGACATACCTCATCTCTGCTTTTATAACATGGGGGATTAGAGTTCGGATCAAACTCTAAATCTTGTGGAATTGACTGAAAAAGGAGAGTATATGACAATATTAATTCATTCATTTTCTTATACAGATTAGTACTGTGCGATGCAATGACCAATCACAATGATTTACTCTAATTGACATGAAATCAAAATGAATATTAAGTAGCTGTGATTGAAAATTCCACCTACATGTCTGGATATGAAGCACTGCATGGGTCCAATTTCACAGAAAAGACCAATCTTGTTGATCTGTGTTACAACTGCATCAAGAACTTCTCCTTTGAATGGACGGAAAACAATAGCCTTGTACTGAAACAGAAAAAACATATATAATGAATTTTTGCTTGTCAACTTCCAATCAAAACAGGCAAAATCTTTATATCATCAGATTCTCAAAAAATTCATATACACATATATAAGTGTGTATTTAAAATGTAAGTTATAAGACCCTCAATATCAAACTCCTCTGGCCTTATCAGGTATCTAAACATGAACGTTTGCTGGTAACTTACTTTGATAGGATACAGAACAAAGCCACGTCCAGGCTGAATCATGCCAGAGCCAATGTGATCAATTGTTGTGACTGCAATCACAAAACCATACCTGTAATAAAAAAAATATCATGAATAGTAATCACGTATGGACAGATAACGCTATCACGCTAGTACTTATTCCATCAATATTTGTTTCCGCATGGATCTGACATTTTCCACAGGTATCACATGCATGCAGAATACATCCCAGACAAAGACAGCAGTAACCATTTTCGTAAGACTGATTTTTGTCTTGATCTTGTGTTACAGAGAATCTATACTACTACAATACTTTATTGATAAATTAAATAAAAGAGGTTCATGTAAACTTAAGATAATATTCTAGAATAATTCTGGATATAATACAGTAGTCTCATTTACATAACAATTTCTTTAAAACAATGCAATACATATAAGAATGCTTGTGCTTCCAGGGACCTTACTTGGATGGTACCATGTTTGTTTTACATGGGCACTATATTAGCTGCCTTGGTAACAGCAGTACTCTGCGAGTGTGATAGGGTCAGGCCATTTGCATGAAAAAAGTTCATACAGCAATGTAAACATGATGGAAGAAGTACTAGTATAGTAGAGCCTTTAGATATCAATTTCTTTTCATTCCATAATAGAACAATTTTTTTCTTTTTTTTCCAATTTTTTGCATACTTCTTACAAAGGACTGATACTGGAAATTAGAGACTAATTTCTTTTCATTTAAAAATTCCAAGTAAAGAATAAAAAGCTTTTACATACTTTCCTGTACATGTGCCTTCTACTTCTGTGAAAAGCATCTGCCGTACAGTGTCCATCAGCTGTGGACCAAAGTACCTGGGATGTAACAGGATCTCATGCTCTAGTGAAATCTGTAATAAAAAATAAAAAAGCTGTAAATAGGCTAATTCAATAGCGTTTTAATAACATAGTCTCTGAGCCGTGACGGGCAGTTACTATTTTCATCATTTTCCAGCATAAGAGCCCGCTGCAGCTCTACCTATATTACATCTTTACTGAATTTCTTGAGCTATATAAGATGGCAGTGTCCATTTCCGCCTATCTGTGCGTCGCTCTCAGCAACTTACACCATGGTTTTGGACTGTTACTTCAGTACGTCAAAAATTAATTAAATATGTACCTTGTTTATAGAATACTTATAATTTCCATAAACAACTAGTCAAGCACTGAAAATCTACCAAGAATCTACCTGGAACTGTATTTCTTAATATATACCAATGACCCATCCTGAGAAAAACTTCCCAGTGCAGGAAAGTGAACTATGGACCTGCAAACACTCCATTATAACTTCATAACTTTTTACCAAATCATATCCCAGCCACAGTGTTATCCCAGAAACAAATCTAAGCGCTTGCAAGAATTTCAAGAGAACGGTAACTCATAAAAGAGGAATATTCACATGGTAAAACATGATGTTGAGTCGGCGCCTGTCAAATGTAAACAACTTGGTCAGTGTTGGTTCTGAACTGATCTACCTACCTGAAATAAATAAATAATAATGAGAGGATATGGATATATTTGGAAGCAGTGATAAATACAACATGCAGTTTTTATATATAAAAATAGTAAAAAAATAGCAAACCATAATGAGATAATCTATCAAGTGTAGCAGAGATATATCAAAATATCTTTGTTCTACATCATCGGTACTTTTAGAAAAGTCCGTTCAATTCACCCGAGCTTGTATACTTCGGAAATAATTTACAATTTGCTTTGACGATAATGATAATTCTAATAACAATAATAATGTTATAGATTATAATAATGGTGATGAAAATGATGAGGATGGTCATATGTACAATAGATATATAATTACAATAAATAATATATGATAATCATATCAGTAATGATATTATAAATTTATTAATATTTTTGATAATAATAGTAATAAGATAATGAAAGTATCGAATATTATAATAAAGATAATGATGGTAATGAAAATGGCAGTAGAATGATAAATGATAGTCGAATAATTATTATAATAAAAATTATGATATAATAGTAAAACTAATACCTGACAATAGTGCTTATGATTTTTATTATACTGATAAAAGTAGCAATAAAAGTAATTTATAGCATACTATGAATATTATTGCCCAAATACATTAACTTCCTTACTAAAGGATTTTTATTATTTACTTTCACAGTTATCTAAAATTTTAAATATACATAATTAACAGAGATAAAACAATCTGTTTTTGAATATTAGAAACTACTGCGTACATCATTTTGCTAATTTTTGGTTGGGTATATAGATTTTATATGATAAATATGAAATACTGCATACGTTGTTTCATAGAGATTTTAACACAAATATGTTTAACAAATTCACATTAAAATTTTAGCAACATGCGACACGGGGGTGATTATGATTGTATTACTCGAGTTACTTTATTATTTTTTTCTCACAATTTGTTCACCTTCATTTGTTTCATCGCCACTTCACTGTCTTACTTTATTCTTCTCATTATTTTGCGAATATGTAGAAAGGGCTTTGTTTTCCATATAAAAGAAAATCCAACCATGAAACGTGCAGATCAAAGGCCGAAGTGAGCTTCAGTTACGCTACAACTTGTGTGTGTGTTTTCTGTTTATGCACACGATCATGATAACCATAATGCTAATAACCATAGTGCATATTTAAAGTAAAAACGTTTTTTCATAAACCCAACTGTGCAACTATTAAAAAGCGTTTCTTGTTTGCAACATTTATCAAACACAATTTATAACCAATCAAAATTGGTGAAATGATGTACGCAGTAGTTTTTATTATAAGTAAAAAGTAAAGAAACTATTTTATACTAAAATTATTTTCCCCAATAATTTTGAAACATATATCAGACATAACAATTACCAAACGTATCATATAATTCTGTTGTACTGTAAAAGCTTGTTTCTAGCTCCGTAAACTGTAGTAAAATTGCATAACCGACCTCAATTTTTTTTCTCTTTTTCAATATCAGAAAGCTGTTGTTTAATAGCATTTGCCTCGATAATCTAAGTCATAATGACAGTCTACGTGAGTGTTTAAGAAAAACTAACGGGTGATATATATTTCATTGGTTTAATTCAAGTTGGGCATTACCTTAAACTATTAGAAATCTTGGTGGATGAATACGTTTGGTTTAGATAAAGTATAAACCTATTTTTGGGGAGTTTTTTTCAGAATTTGTTAGATTTTACAATCATCATATGTATCTATTGTATATGTGTATGAATTATTGACAGTATTAAAGTAGAGTTTCAGACATGGAGAGACAGGGAATAAGGTAAACAATTTAGGATTCTGCAGAAAGGAATGGAAAGGACACAATACTTGCAAAAAAAATAGAATCTATGCGTGTCCTTACTATATGTATATGACATCATTTATATATGTATATATTTATATGATGTCATAACCTCAACCATTGCACACGTCCAGATACTGTTACTCTGTTCTTACCTTTGGCACTCCAGGAAAGCCAAACAATCCTGTAACATATATCAATGTAGAAATAAATTAGATTGGTTCGTTATTTGACCAGAATTCACCAGGGTGGTCTTGAATCACTTCCATAATATATGTCATGGTTTTGTTATAGTTTTCCTGGACTGCTGAAGGCATAGAAACCATGGTTATTATTTGCTTCATAAACTATTGTGGGTTTACCTTCACTAAATGCATATTGTCTTCTTATGTCAATAGGGTTAGTTTATGGTTCTTAAACAGGCTTACGGGGGGTATATATATACTATATAGATATATATATATATATATATATATATATATATATATATATATATATATATATATATATATATACTATATATATATATATATATATATATATATATATATATATATATATATGTATATATATGTATGTATGTTGTATGTATATGTATGTATGTATACATATATGTATATGTGGTGCAGTTTAGGCAAATTATTTTTTTCAGAACAATTTTGGTAATTTACAATGTGGATGCACTCAGCAGGGACTAAATCCCCAACTGTCACAAAATTTATTCAACAATATAAATTGCTGTGACTTGGAAACTGCTTAAAGGGAGGGTTATGGGGGGTTTCTGCCCGACTTACATCCCCTGGCAAACATTGTGTTCACTGCGATATGCATGGCAGGGTAGAGCTGAAAATCACGAGCCCTGAGTGGACTTAGGCTGTAAGCGACACCTTCCCTGATCTTTTTCCTTTATTTGTGGCATTACAGACCCTTTCTGCAGATTTGTTCTTGTATTGATAACTGCAATTTTTAGTGCTTTACAAGACTATCAGCTTCAATTTGCCATAACTTAGTATAGCCATACTGTAAAGATTAATCTGCTATTTTCACAGACTATTGAAATAAGTATACAATTATAAATGTTCCATTCAAAATATTTGTGTATTCTGTAAAACTGAACAATAATAGGGATTTTTGTGCTATATGTTTCATTTTTTCATACAGTATTATAAGTGTGATTCATAGACTGGAACTGCAGGAATTTTATCACATACTGCAGAGGGCCTGTGCAAATGTGGAATGATTATACTGATATATACATATATACATATATACATATATACATATATACATATACATATATATACATATACATATACATATACATATACATATACATATACATATACATATATACATATACATATACATATATATATATATATATATATATATATATATATATATATATATATATATATATATATATATATATACATGCATACATACATATATGATATATGTATATATATGTATATATATATATATATATATAATATATATATATATATATATATATATATATATATATATTATATGCATGTATATACACATTTATGTGCAAGTATGTTTATTTCTTTATTCTTTTATGAAATATAGCATCTCTATTCTTAGGACCTGTAATGATGGATGAGGTGATTTACGGAGACGGCAGCCATAGTGGAGACGGCAAGAGAAGCTGCGTGGAACTGGAAGAAACTAAACAGAGTGACCATGGGAAGATAATGGAAGAAAGGGTAATGTTCTCTTTTGTTGACTGTATTTTCTGTGATCTTTTGGATTTTGAATGAGACTTTCGTTTAATCTTTCTTGGTTAAATAAGGAAAGAAAATGTACTTTGTATTTTTTTGTATTAGAAAAAGGAAAATGTTTCAATTCTTTCAGTGTATCTTCAGTGTCACTTGATTTATTATAATTATTCCTTTTGTATAATGCAGTTACATCAGTGTTTGGAGAACAATGGAGGCCAGAATATTACCAATGATGGGAGCCCTACAGAAACAGCATGTGAGGAACATCTTTTTTTTTCTTTCTTTTCTTTTCTTTTTTTCTTTTATAGATTAAGTTGGGCCCAAAGTGAGAAAACCTGTACTATTGCACTAACTACAATTTAGTTTTCAATTGAAAAATTTCATCTTATTTGTTCATTATGTTCTAACAAACAAAAGCTGAGGGAATTTTCCACCATCAGTGATTATAAATACTTGATAAATGGATTGATACTAAATATGAGAATGATGAATGGGCATGTGTGCAAACTTTTTTATTTTTATGCATATTATAATTTACAAAGAAACACATGAATGTTTGTAATTGCTGTTAAAACAAGACTTTCAGCAGTTCTAATTGAGTTTATTATTATTTTTGCTATGCAGGTGTGAGCCTTCAAAATATGGAGCAAAAAGCAGTCAGTAGTACAGATCTGAAAGATTTGTCAGAGTCAAGCAATAAGGAAACCACAGGCCAAGTGAACAAGAATTATAAGTGTGATCACTGCGATTCTGTCTTTCGTCAGAAGAACAACCTAAGGAGACATTTAAAGTTGCATTCAGGGCATAAACCCTATGTATGTAAAGAATGTGGACTATCATTTTACGTGCAGGATTCTTTGAAGAAACACATGAGAACTCACACTGGAGAAAAACCATACAAGTGTGGAGAATGCAACACTTCCTTTGCTCATAGTGGTCATTTGAAAGCACATAAAAGGACACATTCAGGAGAAAAGCCATATAAGTGCCAGGAGTGTGGCTTATTTTTCTCCCAAGCAGGTAATCTGAAGGTCCATATGCGGGTTCATACTGGGGAAAAGCCCTTTGTTTGCAAGGTCTGTGGAGCTGCATTTGCTATTAGTAGTGTATTCAAAAAACATAAATTGGTTCACACTGGTGAGCGTCCCTTCAAGTGTTCGTATTGTAATGCTAGATTTTCCAGTAATTCCAATTTGTCAAGGCACAACAAGACACACACAGGAGAAAGACCTTTCAAGTGTCAGTTATGTGATGCATCTTTTCCTGTTAAAAATTCTTTAGATCGTCACATTAAGTCTCACACAGGTGAACGTCCATACTGCTGTGAAATGTGCGGTGCTGTTTTTGCTGATATGTCAGATCTTACGAAACACAGGAAAACACATTCTTCTGAAAAGCCACTAAAATGTAATGTATGTGGAAAAGGTTTCTTTTCTAAATCACAAATGAATATTCATATTAGAACCCATACTGGAGAAAAGCCACATAAATGTCAGTTATGTGATGCAGCTTTTGCACAGATAGGGACACTGAATAAACATAAACAGAGACACTCAGGAAAAAAACCTTTTCGATGTGATGTGTGCGGTACACAGTTCACAGCTAAAAGCAGTTTGAAAAAACACATGGAAAGACATTCATCAAGTGCTGTGCCATCAACACCAAGTACTTGTAATATCTCTCCTTACTGTGGAGTGAATCTAGAGACACCTTTTCATGACATTCAGAACAAAGTATTAAACACCAGTGGCTTATGTAGTCAGGAAACATTATCACTGCCTTCCAAACTGGCAACAGAATCATCCCAGATAGGAGATTCATTGAGTGTAGGAACCATGCCGTTAAACTCAGATGAAAGCATTCTGAATAAACGTGTGATGCAAGGAAGCAGTCAGAGTCCTTTAACATCAATTCCATCTTCAATTCACAGTGTGGAATCTGCCTATATGGATGTAGCAAATTATAATCCGGGGTTACATACACTGGGTGGACATGTACCTGAATCCAGTTCTGTTCTCAGTAGTTACACAGCCCTTGAAGAGAGAAACACTCCAATCTCTTTCCAAGATCTGCATGATGCTAATGAACTCTGTGATATTGGAAAGAATCCAGCAATAGTTGGTAATGAAGTGCAGTATCTCCACACTTTTTCTGAAGTTGTTGCAGTGCCTTCTATCCAGCCAGGAGGTACAGGTAATTCACTTGTATCAGACCTCACACCCCCACAAAAATGGTAGCCATCACAGAAGAGTTTTATTAATGGTTTTGATTTTTGGCTTGTAGTACAAATGTTTAGTTTAGTAGCCTGTAAATGCTGAATAATTTGTGAAGCACCTGCTCTATATGACATAATACAAGAACTAAAGTATATAAATTTGTGAAATAATCATTCATATGTTCAGCAAATTATTTTTGGCCGTGTTGGTTGTTCTATGTTTTAGTCCTTCCCCTTTTATAATGTTTACTAAGATATATAAAATCAGTTATGGTGAGTTGTGGTTTACTACTGTACCCATTAGTGTGAGTAGTTTCCATTCCAGTCCGTTTTGTAATAATGAAAGATACAGAAATTCGGTAGGAAAACCAATTTCATTTATTCTTTTGTAGTACTGGTACAGCCATTAAAAAACAATTGATAGATATATAGCGCTATGTATCAAATGGTGATGTTATAATGTATTTACATATATTGTAAGAGATAAAAAGAAACCTGTATTTATATATATATATTTTTATTGTTACATATATTTTTAACTTGTTTTAATTTTGTGATACCAAACTTAGGTATAAAAAATATACATTTTAAAAATAAAAATGTCAATTATGTTTCCATATTTAAAGCCTAATCCAAATGATGGGCAGAGCCCACACTTACAAAACAATTACCACATAGGTAGCATGAAAGACGAATCACATGCAAAGAAACCACAGGCTGAGATCTGACAACAGCGTTTATAGATTAAGCACTGGATCACAGGCTACGCAATGTACCCGCTAAAAGGCACATTCTCTTTTTGTGTCCATAGGTAGTTCCATTTCAGAGGTTTGCCTAAGAATATGATCTCAAGCTTTTACTGATTTCAACTTTTATCAAATAAGAGCAATCAAACTAGACTATTTAAAGTCTGACATGTATAAAAAGGTTAAAAAAAAGATCAGCTGAATGTAATTTTTTATTTCCACTGATGACATTCCACAAGTATATAAACAAAATATTTACACTATTATATAAATGATATATGGTAATTTCAACATAGGCAGAATGATCAGGCTTATGTTCAATAATAACAGCCACCTATATAATACAGATTCAGCTATGGACATATTTCTACTATCTGTTCATGACATTATGATGCATAGAACTCCTTGAGAACAGGATCAGTAGGCTTAACAATGACCTTATCTTTCATGTTAACAACCCACCCTGGTTCAAGGCCATAAAATATCTGACGTGGATCCTTTCTTTCCAGAAGCATATCCTTATCCGGAGATGATTTGATATCAGGAAGCTCATAACCATATTTCTGAAAAAAAAAAAAAAATAGGAGAGGAAAAAATTAAAGTTAACGTGCCTGTAAGCCACACACCCAGAAGAGTCACCACTCACGTTAGCCTACTGCCCAAGATCTAATGGGTTATTAAGAACTAGGTTTTACTAAACATTGGTAAAGACAATTGGTAAGCATTTCAAAATACCAAAATTGAAGCTACATTCTGAATAAAACTATTCATATTTACAATTTATTATGTTTGTGTATAATTCATTATTTTACATAAACTATACCATACTACATGATAAGTGCTATAATGTTTTTACCTGAGCCAAGATGAATCTTTCCTTTGCCACTAAATCTGGATCGGCCAAATAACCTCTATTCTTTGGATCACTGTAGTAGTCAATAAGATGTTGTGGAGGAAGCATGCGCTTGGGAATGGCAACACCTGAGGGTAAAGACAATGAATATGTAAGAGTTAGAATCCAAACAACCAATATATTCTCAATAACAACATGGGACAAAGTAAAACTAATGGCCATATGCTTAAACAAAATGTGGACTCCATAAATTGACTTCATACTACATTGATATAATTCGACATAGTTATGGTCCCATATCTGTGCAGAAGACAATTGTGGTAATCACATTTGTGTAACAAAATTTCTGCAGGTGCTAGATGTTCCACATTATTGGAGCAAAATGTGTCAAACTAAATGGCAATCCACATTAGTAAATGTTTTATACAAAATATACCAGCTTTATGTAATGATCATATATTAAATAAAATATGCTTTAATAGGTTGTGTTGTTACACAGATTATGCATTGTTTCTGAATGAAATTTCTCTGAAATAACTTTAAGCATTCTTCAAGAAATATTAGATATGCAGCTATGAATGAAGCCATACACCAAAGACCGTGGAAAGAATCTTTAGGGTTAATATAAATAATACTGACACATGGCAACTCATTTGTAGTTTGAGTATATCTGGCAGCTATGACATTACTGTTTTGAGATGACCCAAAAAATGTAGAGAACAGAATTTAAACAGACTATGTTGCAAAATGTCTTTAAAAAGATATATTAGTTTTCAGCAGAAGCAATTTAACAGTTTAAAGCAGAAATCACTGTTCATTCCTAATTGCTAGGCTTACCAAAGGCATTGTGTATTGCACATATGGAACATAAAATTTGTGACATACGAAACAATTTAATTATACTGAAAAAAATTATATACACTTGTGGAGTGTGTTATAAGTACAAAGGTGTAATGTTACAAACCTCGTATAAGCATACATTCTTAAAATTCTCTATATGTAAAAAAAAAAAAAGAAATAGGCATTTTATTTTCGAGGTCTCAAAATGTATTATCAAAGAAGTGTGATTATTTAAGCATGATCCATTTTTCTAATTTTGTGCCACCATTTATACTTGTACTTCACCTTTCTTATTTCACATAAAAAACTAACTCATTGTTGTTACTTTTTCATAATTTCTGCTGGAAACTCTTAACGCACCTCTTTTAAAAAAGGCCATTGGATTACACGCAGCACCAAGAGCAATAGGGTCATAATATGCTGTGGTGATGGTTCCTCCATTACGCTCAACTGCTGCAATAACCGCTTCAGATGCCCACTGCACCTCGATGTTCATTCTGGTCTGGAAGTGGTCCATGCCCTGAAAGAATGAAAGTGATTCTTAACTCAGATATACAAACAAATATTCTGCCTTTGAAAAATTCATAATTGAATTAAACTAAATTCAATATATTTACGGTAATACAGCATCAGAATCTTTAACAATGAAAATTACTTAAACACAATTCTTGGGGGGGGGGGGGAATCTATAATCTTAAAAATATAAAAATGCTAGAAACAGAAATGGTACCATCAACTTACATCATCTTCAAGCATAAATCCTCCCTCTTTCTCTTCTGGACGAACGGAGAACAAACCTGTGGCAACCAGCTGAGTTAGATCAACTGGGATGTCTGTTCTCAAGCGATTTGTATCCACCAGCATCTGCAGCTTTCCCATGCATACTGGTATATAGGACAACTTCAGACTGAAAACAAAGTGTCAATCAGGAAAACTTGTGTTCGTAACTCTACTTCTTTAAATCTCTTTAATTTTTCTTCCAGCATGAGTGGAAGAATTAGAAACCATTGAACTCAAAAGAACTACCTCAAGACATTTTTATATTCAAATATAGTGAGTCACTTTATCTGAACATTATTTGTCAGAAGACTAAGGAAGGATGAAAATAATTCTTTTATAACATGATCCCTGAAATACTTCATACATTGTAAAATGGATCTAGATATTACAAGGCTTAGCAAAAAAGGTGGAAAAATCATTTTATCTTTTTAAGTTAAAAATTTTCTATTAAAACAGTGAAATCCTTAAAGTTGAAACCTCTATGATATGATACTTACTGATGGCCCTTATAGTAGTTCTGACATGGAAAGCGGAGATAGAAAGGGTTGTTCCCTGTCTCATAACCAAGCCTCATAAAATTTTGTCTCTGCCCTGAACCCTTACTTCCTGCACCATGTGTCTTGCCTCCATTCATACCACGGCTACGAGTTTTCTGTAATAAGGTAACAGGGTGAAATTCGGAGTTGTATAAATATAGCTATACATAACTAATAGTTACCTGTGCAGAATTGGATTTTCAAATCTAATTTTTTTTTCTTTTTGGGTGTCTTCAAGTTTCTGGGGGGGGATTTGGGTACAGGGGTCTGAAAAACAAAGGATCTCTTGTGAGGAGGAGAAGAAGGGCATTCAAGGAGCAAAGGATAAGGGTGTAGGAGACGTGTGGAAGGCGAAGATGGAATAGGACATTTAGGTTGTCTGGTGCGACATGTAAAGTGAGGGGGAGGAAGGGTAGGTATCGGAGAAGTGGTAGAGATTGGAGTATCTGGATTTGGAATGGAAAAGGGATTTGACTGGGAGATAGGGAGAGTAGAGGTAAAATGGTTCAGGGTTGAGGGAAGAGATACTGGGGGAGATGCAGAAACATCTTGTGGAGATTGGGGGGGGGGGTGTAGAGCGGACTATTTTAGAATGGGCAGAGGGAAAAAAACTTATTGCCGTGCTTCCTGTCTAGCCTCATGTAGAGTGAGGCCTAATTTGAATTTGAGAATTACTACCTCACATCCGAGCTTATAGGTAGGGTAACTCCTATAAAATACGTTATGGGAATCACCACATTTTGGTACATGTATGCGACTGTGCAGGACATTCAGAACTCTGGCTGTGTGATGGTGTTGTGGACTTAACCTCTAAGCGATGATATGCAACGGATATTCTTATCAACTGCGGTAATTATTAGGCTGCAGTAGCTGTACTTGTGTGGCTTATAACTATTTATTTCTTATGCTATATAAGATGGCAGTTTCTATTTCCCTCTATCTCAGTACATTGGTCTTAGTAACATTAACCCCCTCCCCCCAATAATTTTCCTGATATACTTCATGCTCTCCTTGCTACTGGAACTATCACATCAAGATTGCCAGTGGAAATAGTCATCAGATCTCCTAAAATTCATTCGAACAGATTTCATATATCTAAGAGGATTTTCTGCAGAGAGCCATGAAAATCGTATCGAAAGCAAACCACTACCTCGTTTTCCATATTTCCCAAATCAAACAATACTAATTCGTTTGCTATGTGGTAAGTACAAGTTATATATTACATAAATTTGCAACTACCGGTACAGACTGAGTAAAAGCAGAAGCTAAACACTTTTTTTTTACAATAGCACTTGGTAACAAATAACTCAAATAACAAATAATATCCATACATTCCTATGAGCACCAGGATTCGGCTTCAGATTTGATAAACCGACTCTGGGCAACCTTCTTAGGAGCGAGAGAGCCTTTTCAGTTCCCGCAGACGACGCCATGATGTTTACATATGACCCCGACGACGGTAGGAACACGGACATAATTTCTGGAACTGATGGTTAAAATGTATCTATCTTATCTAAGGTAAATTACTACATTATGAAGTTTCTTTATTACTGATATTTTCGTAATTTTCTTTGTTCTTGTTTGTATCATTAGCATTTCATTACTATTTCCATAATATTGCTATTATATTATTCATTATTTTTTTTATATTATTATTATTATTATTATTATTATTATTATTATTATTATTATTATTATTATTATTATTAATATCTCATCATCATCATTATCATTATCATTACTATTATCATTACCTCCGCCAAGGTTATGTTTTTGGTAACATTGGTTAGTTTGTTTGTTGGTTAGTTAACAGGATAACTAAAAAAATATATGTACAGATTAAAAAAGAAAAAAAAAAAACTTTACCATAGATGTGTCATAGCTTAACTTAAATGCCATGGTGGTGATCCAGATCATGGTCAGGAATTGTTTAAATTATTGCATCAGTTATCCCTATACCTAAGGCAATAGGGGTAACTATTATCATTACCTTTACCTGTGTTTTTACTATATCGTTACTATTATCGTTTATCATAATCGTTAATACTATCACAA